CTGTATCTAAAAAACTATTTAAGGTCCTTCACATTTTCAAGGGTTAAAATCTGGCAAATGTACTTGTAGAATCTGAACTTTTACACATGTACTTTTAGTTTATCACAGATTTCTGGGGCTTGAATTTGCTCGAAAATTCTCCTCTTCAAATTTGAGGGCATCTTTGAAGGACTGTGGAAAGTGCAATTTCAAAGACAGAGGTTTGATATTGAACATACACCTTCAAACACACACTGTGTACTTTGTATTTTAAAACTGAGCCTCTGTGATGAACGCTCTTCAAGATATTAAGTGTTAAAAGTGGAAAAAATAAATTTGGTGCCATCTTTACCATGTTATACCAAAAGAAAAATGATAGCAGCCACCAACATCAAATGGACTGTTTTAGAAAGACTACATGTCTGTTTTTAACATATCCAAAATTTATGATGGTGTTCTGCCTTATTTTTGCAAAATTATTATTATTTTTTTCATTCAGGGACTATGAAGAAACTTTCAGAAGCTAAGAAAAAACACTCTGAATATTTGACACACAGCTTAAACTCAACAAAATGCTTGATTTAATTACTCAACTATTGTAAATTATTTGAACTCTTTGAGGAAACCAACAGATGTTTTGGTGTAACACTCCTGAACTGTATACAGGCGTCCTGTTGTTGTGTGAGGAACATCTATTTTAGAAATGATGTGTTGTAAAAGTACACAGCACTAGTCTAAAACCAAAAGCACATGTGTAAAAGTCCTCCACTTTTCACAGTCCTTCAAAGATGCCCTCAAATTTGAAGAGGAGAATTTTTGAGCAATTTCAAGCCCCAGAAATCTGTGATAAACTAAAAGTACATGTGTAAAAGTCCAGATTCTTCAGGTACATTTGCCAAATTTTAACTCATGAAAATCTGAAGGACCTTAAATAGTTTTTTAGATACAACAATCTGAAAGTGGCTCCTCAGAAAACTCTGCTCAAAACAGGTCAGGACAGAGTTGACAAAATATCTTTGAATGACAAAACTATAAGGAGTTGGGAGCTAAAATTTGGGACTTTTCCTGTTGGAAAGTGTGTGAACCTCCTAGAATTTTTTTCAGTCAAATCTGAGATGGTCTGGCTGGAACATTTGGAGATTTGGTGGTGGAATGACCCTTTTTTGTTGTATACCTGGGGTGGTGGTCACTAATGGCCTACCTGAACTGAATTTATTGTTCCCTGTGTAACAGATTGCCACTGCTGCTTTATTCTTAATCTTAGTGTTTTTTTTTTTTTATTTGATGAATGTTGTGGGACAGGAGCTGAGGTCTTGGAGAGGAAGTGCAATATCTGGCCGGGTCCTCAGTGCAATACAAGGTTAGGTTTCAGGTTTCTCACAGGTCACTTTAGTCCAGATAGACCCCCTCAGCACAAACACTTCATCATCTAGAACTCTATGTACTTGAACTTAAAGAATACCTCAAATACCTCAGCACACACACTTGAAGTACCAATAAACACAGCATTCATGTTTACATCGCACTAACACTTTAACTTATTGTAAATGTACGGTTTATTTACTTTGGTTTGTTTTTCATGAATGTTTGGTTTGAGATGACTCATTTTGATTTGTTGTGTTTAGTGAGGAGTGGGTTAAATCCTGCATTTACAAGAGTTGATTTGCTTGTAGTTATTTGTGTACCAAAAAAAAAGGAACAAGAAACTGAAATAATTTTTAAATGTCTAGAATATTAAATAAATATGTGTATTTTTTTAAACTGCATTGCCCTTGTCGTCTTTTATACCAGAATAAATTGTGTGAGCAATTAATAAATGGATCTAAATCACTCAGTTACACTGTGAAAAATTAGATCCATTTATATTTACATTAGAATCTATTTTCTCCGTCTCCACCCCCTCTTCCTCCCTCCTCCCTCCTCCTCCTTCTCTCTGGTGTGTTGTTTATAAGCGTCCCTCCCTCCCTCCGTCCCTCACACTGCAGTACATTTGCTGTACACTGGGACAACATGCTGTGGAGTCTGTACACTCTGGCCTGTGCTCTCACATGTAAGGAGGCTGCTCTTTGCTGCTCTCTGCTCACTCCGCCTCTCTCCTCACTTCTGCTCTTCTTCTTGTTTCCAGGTGTGAGTGCTGTGACGCAGGTGACCCAGAACCCTCCTGATGTGAGTGTGGAGAGAGGACAGAGCGTCTCCATGGACTGTAACCTGGGATATGTGGAGGAATAAAAGAGCCTGGTGGTACAAACAGTCTCCAGGACAAGTTCCACAGTTTCTCTTGTATTTTTACCATTCATATAGCGCTCCAACCTACGGCTGTGGTGTGTCCTCCTCTAAATTCACAAGTACTCATCAGTCTAAAAGTGATTATCGTTTGACCATCAACAGTTTGGAACAATCAGATTCTGCAGTTTATTACTGTAGCACATGGGACGGCACTGTTAACGAGGAAGTATCACAGTGATATAGAGTGTGACAAAAACCTCAGTTCCTCTTCTGCTGCTTCTCTGAGGCTCAGAGCGTCAGTCTCTTGGCCCCTGTCCTCTCCTCACAGCTCCATCATGGTCCCCAGTGTCCTCCTGGTGTCCACCTCAGCTCTTGGTCTGGACTAGAGGGACACTGATGAAGGCGGTGGACATGCGCTGAGTGTCCACAGGAAGTGTGAGTGTCTCTGTCCTCATCAGAGACAGTGGGGAGGTTTTTGTAGCAGCGTGTGCACACACTGAAGCACTGTGGTATTCGGAGCAGGCACCAGGCTCTCTGTCACAGGTAAGACACTTGACACTTTACTTTGAACATGATACTCCACAAACATCTGTGCAATGTCAACTACACAATGGACCTACAAGATTTGAACACAAGACTTATTTTGACCATTTGGAAAACTTTAACACATTACTCTAGTTATGTCTTTATTCATGCTGAAAATACATTAATATAATCACACAAAATATGTTTGTTTAAACTTACTTATTTATTTCTTTATAGCCTCTATTTGTTTATTTTCTTTATTTATTTGGATCTCCATTAGCGCTCACCAAATTGTGAGTTGCTTATCCTGTTGTCTTATTCAAAAATACTAATACAATCAGTTTCCACTAAACATTTGAAATACATTTGACGTGTATAAATAACCATTATGTCTCTAAAAACACTGAAGCCTCCATTAGAAAACATTTCTTCAAGATTCTTTTAAAGGAGCTGAAGTAGAAGCTTTAGGAACAGTTGGAGACAGTTTTAAGATTCTCTTGATTTGGAAAAGGTCAGGGATAGTTGCAGGGAAACAATGTAAATTTCATTGTTATATTTTTATAACTATAAATCATAATATTATCAGTGAATAGTCGTGAGTTACATTTTCTACACTGAGTTGAGTTGATTTTAGAAGAAATGTCAGGACACATCCAACTCTTCACCCACACATGAGGATTAGTGTTTGGACAGAACTGTATTCTTACTTGAGTAAAAGTTTTGGTCCCACTGTCACTGAGTGTCACAAGCAAATGTTGAATGAATGAACATTTGTGTTTCATGCACTTTACTTTTTAAAAACATGTCTTTTTTCCCAGTGTTAAGGTTGATTTGTATGTGTTTGTAGTTGTCAGTGGGACACACATGTGTCGCTCCTCATATGGACAGGTAATAGTCCTGTATCTCCCTGCAGAGTAAAGTGAGTTTGTGCTCTGTTTCAGATGCCTCTCCTCCTCCTCCAGTGGTGACAGTGTTCCCTCCGTCCCCCGCACAGCTCCAGTCCCACACAGTCACTCTGCTCTGTGTCTCTGCTCAGTCGGGGCCCTGGGCTCAGGTGAGCTGGTTGGCTGATGGGAGTCCAGTGAGCAGTGGGGTGTGGAGCAGCGGGGCCGTCCTGGGAGCAGAGCAGACTTTTCACGTGAGCAGCTCTCTGTCCATCCCCACGTCCCACTGGACCAGCAGCCAGAAGCTGTACACATGCAGAGTGTCCCTGGGCCCTCAGACACAGCCTGCCCAGGACACCATCCGCCATCAGAAGTGGTGTGTGTGACTCAGCAGCACTGACACCTGCACTATGCTCCTGTGTGCTCCTATAAGTGTATACTGTCAAAGCCTCTGAACACAGCACGATTTCAAAAATAAACTGCATGAAAAAGTCAAGTTGTTTCCTTTCTGTTTGTGAATTGTAAATTACAAATGTCCATGTTCCTTTGTGGCCATGGGCAAATAGGTATTGAACCTCTTTAGGTCTGTAAGTGTTCTATAAACTTATGGCCCAAAATGAGTGATACTGCATGTTCAGGGTTGAGCAGAGAAGCAACACTTTCTGTTCCAGAAATCATTAACGGAGAATTTCAAGTGTTCTTAATTTAATACGAATGAAATTTTGTGGGTTATTCACATGAACTTGAAAGGGGCTAAAACAGTCGCTCGATGAGCCCCTGTTCTATAGCAACAGACTAGTCATGCATTCAGTGATGGCTCATCAACCATGAACTTGTCTCGGCTATTTGATAACTCAATTCATAATGGAAAATAAAATGTAAATAAATAACTATGTAGAATACCTCAGCTATACATATATACAGTACTGTGCAAAAGTAATAGGCAGTTGTGAAAAAATACTGTAAAGTAAAAATGGAAGTGTTAACCATTTATTTTCATCAATCAACAAAATGCAGTGAATTAACAAAAGAGAATTATAAAACAAATCGATATTTGATGTGACCACCCTTTGCCTTCAAAAGAATTCTTCTAGGTGTACTTGCCTACAGTTTTTGAAGGAACTCGTCTGGTAGGTTGTTCCAAACATCTTGAAGAACTAACCACAGATCTTCTGTGCATGTAGGCTTCCTCACATCCTTCTGTCTCTTCTTGTAATCCCAGACACACATTCTGCCTAGTACAGCACCGCACCCGCCCATTAACCCCTGATTATATCAAAGTTAAACCCGCACCCACCTGGACCAATTAACATTCCACCCGTTACCCGCCCGTGCCCATGACAAATCACACACAAATTAAAAGCATTCTGACTGAAGCATTCATCAGAATACAAATTGAAAAGTTACAGCTTCAAGAATTACAATGATGAAATGAAATGAAATGGTTACAATTTTTTCAGTATGAATATGAATTCACAGATGCAACTCGACTGACATCACTTCACAGGCTTTATTTACTGAGCAGAAGAAACATTGACCGAGATGCCGGACTTTTGTGCCGCACACGCCACGGACTGAACCAGGACTAACATAGGACTGATTCCAAGACTGATCTAGGAGGACTAAACCAGGACTGATCTAGGACTGAAACAGCACTAAACCAGGACTAACCCAGGACTGAACCAGGACTCACTATCGGATGGGCTTGGAGGTGCGTCCGTGTAGACCGTCGGGTGACCGCAGGCGAAAGGACCGGCCCGGCACAGAGCTCCGCACCCCATGGAGGTAAGCACAGTCATCGTCTGATCGCACTTTGCGGACACCCTGCTCCATGTGCTCAGGGTTTTCTCTCTCTTAAGTCCAAAATTAGATCTGGTTTAGTCCTGACCCGCCCATGTGTAATTACTACTCACCCGCATACCCGCCCGTAAAATACCAGAAAGTTAAAACCCGCCCATTTCAGCAACTATTTGTCTGTACCTGTCAGATACCCACGGGTACCTGACTCGGTGCAGGACTCTGGGCTCTGTAGGGGCCATACCATCATTTCCAGAACTTCTTGTTCTTCTTTACACTGAAGATAGTTCTTAATGACTTTGGCTATATGTTTGGGGTCATTGTCCTGCTGCAGATTAAATATGGGGCCAGTCATACGCCTCCCTGATAGTATTGCATGATGGAGAATTATCTTCCTGTATTTGTCAGCATGGAGAACACCATTAATCCTGACCAAATCTCCATTTGCAGAAATGCAGCCCCAAAAGTTTAAGGAACCTCCACCATGTTTCACTGTTGCCTGCAGACACTTATCATTGTACCGCTCTCCTGACCTTTGATGAACAAATTGCTTTCTGTTACAGCCAAATATTTCAAATTTTTACTCTTCAGTCCAAAGCAACTGCTGCCATTTTTCTGCAACCCAGTTCCCATGTTTTTGTGCATACTTGGCTTCAGTTTCCGAAGGCTAATAAGCTTGGTGTGTCTTTCATCTGCTGCACTAAATTTCCTTGGCCGACCACTGCGTCTGTGATCCTCAACGTTGCCCGTTTCTTTATGCTCCTTCAAAAGAGCTTGAACAGCACATCTTGAACCCTCAGTCCGCTTTGAAATCTTTGTCTGGGAGAGACCTTGCTGATGCAGTAGAACTATATTGTTTCTTGCTGCTGTGCTTAGTCTTGCCGTGGTGTTTGACCTATGACATGAGACTGTCTTCCACAACCTCGCCTTGGTAGCAGAGTTTGGCTGTTCCTCATGCAGTTTTAAGCCTCCTACAGAACTGTTTCTGTTTCAGTTAAATGACTGTATTCCAACCTACGTGTGACATTGATAAAGATTACCACCTGTTTAGTGGAAACGGGAAAACCAACTATAATCCTACAAAATAACTGACTGTGTGTACCACTTTGTGTGAAATGATGTTGGTTTGGAGGAAAAAGGTAGTAACACCAAATATTTATTTGACTAGATTTTTCTTTTGTTTCACTCACTTTGCATTTTGTAAATTGATAAAAACAAACAATCATCATTTATATTTTTGAAAGCATTCTTTGTTTTCAGCATTTTTTTCACACCTGCCTAAAACTTTTGCACAGTACTGTGTATTTGTATATGTTTAGGGTTTTAATTATATTTCGGTAAAGAGGAGTGAGGGCCGTTACAGCTAAGCTTCACTGGTCCAGAGGAGACGGTGTGGTTTCTGATTTGTGTCTAAAAGTAAACTCTGAGAGTTGATGGTTGATCAGTGAAGCAGCACTTCTCTGTTCGTGCCCAGTTCTTACCCAGGATGCACCTGTGCTTCTGATCTTTGTTAGAGAGCGGAACAATTTATGTTCCACAGACGATCAACATGACAATGGAAAAAGATATAAGAATAAAAAAAAATAAAAAAAAATAGCCTTTATTATCACATGGCAGATAAAGTCAAAAATCACTTCATCAGAGGAGATTTCTCTACACATCCACGAAGCTCTCCTGCCAATAAAGTTTTGAATGCAACAAAAGATAATTTAAGTTAAAGAGGAGCAGGGCCTGTTGTTAACCATTTGGGTGCCGTACACACAAATACTTTGCAGTGCGCCCAGCGGGGGAAATCAAGAACCAGGAGGAAGAGTGATGGATAAGGAGAATGATTAAAAAGCTGTTTTTAAGACAACTGAAAGATTTTAGCAGAAAAAAGTTAATGATTTAAAAATAGATACAAATGATCACAAAATTGTACTTTTTTGAAAGCTTTAGGTGCCCTGTCAGCCGAACACAGCAGTTTGTGATTACACTGCCTTCTATGGGAAAAATCCTTTCTGGGCAGGAGGGATTTGTTGCTGAAGTTCCAGTGAGTTTCCACTACACCAACTCAAGACAGCTCTAAGATAGTAATACACTATCCAGTTATTTTAATAGCTCTATGTTGCTATCTTATTGCTAGCGATTTTTACCTATTTTTAGATAGTCAGCTCAAAATTCTTCAGTTGTCTTAAAAACAGACTTTTAATCATTAGCTCAGGAAGATGTGGCTGGAGTGCTACATGGACATGGAAGGAACCTGCCTCTGGGGAGGAGGATCGGCCCCAAGGCCCTGAAAAGAAGCTGTGCTGGGGGTTCTGTCATGGAGGTGCTTCTGAGACCATTAAGACACTACATCAGCTACGCCAGAATTATTACTGGGTCCAGCACTGTCATGACAAAGGTTTGGGGCCGGGAAAACAAGTATGTGATTTGCACAATGGACCACTTCACTAAGTGACTTCACTTTGCTCTGCCAGACCAGGAGGTAGAGACAATAGCAGATGCACTGTTAGGGGGGATATTCAGCTGGTTTGGTATGCCTGACATCATCCACCGCGACTAGGGCAGGAAGTTTGAGTTTGAGGCAGGAGTTTTAATCGCACTATGGCCTGAGAAGTAAAGACTTTCATGCTGAAGACTTGGTTTGGGTCTACACACCCAAAAGGAAAAAAGAAGGCTGCCTCAAATTTGATAGCCACTGGGGTGGCCCGTGCTGCGTTAGAGCCCTTCATTTGAACAGTGGGCCTCACAACAAAGCAGCCAAGGGCATTTAGCTGACCACAGATACACTCCCTTTTCTACTCCTGTATCTCCCTCCCAGCCACTTGTCACATGTGAGGGGGGCAGTGTAAAAGCTCTGTTATAGCTCTAGTGTTCCTGGTAGCTTGGTTTCATGTTCCCTGCTGTGTCAGTAGAGGGTGCTGGGGATGTTCTGGTGCTGTGTCCTGTGGACTGTGACCAGACACTTCTGATTGGATTCTTAGCAAAGAGAGGCTCAGTTCTGAGGGTCTGAGAGTTCAGCTTGAGCTGAACAGCTCGTATTAAAACTAGCAGCTTGCTAATAAAGCACATAAAAAAAGAGATCAAGGCGTCTTGTTCTTACCTGGACTTTGTAACATTACGATATGACTGAAAGTTTTTATTCTGCACTCTTCACTCTTTTCTTTTAATGTTAATTTACACTACCGTTCAAAAGTTTGGGGTCACTTAGAAATGTCCTTATTTTTGAAAGAAAAGCACTGTTTTTTTCAATGAAGATAACTTTAAACTAATCAGAAATACACCCTATACATTGCTAATGTGGTAAATGATTATTCTAGTTGCTAATGTCTGTTTTTTGATGCATTATCTACATAGGTGTATAGAGGCCCATTTACAGCAACTGTCACTCCAGTGTTTTAATGGTACAATGTGTTTGCGCATTGTGTCAGAAGACTAAAGGATGATTAGAAAACTCTTGTTCAATCATGTTAGAACAGCTGAAAACAGTTTAGCTGGTTAGAAAAGCTATAAAACTGACCTTTCTTTGAGCAGGTTGAGTATCTGGAGCATCACATTTGTGGGGTTAATTAAATGCTCAAAATGGCCAGAAAAAGAGAACTTTCATGTGAAACTCAACACTCTATTCTTGTTCTTAGAAATGAAGGCTATTCCATGCGAGAAATTACCAAGAAACTGAAGATTTCCTACAACAATGTGTACTACTCCCTTCAGAGAACAGCACAAACAGGCTCTAACCAGAGTAGAAAGAGAAGTGGGAGGCCCGCCGCACAAATGAGCAAGAAGATAAGTACATTAGATTCTGTAGTTTGAGAAATAGACGCCTCACAGGTCCTCAACTGGCAGCTTCATTAAATAGTACCCACAAAATTCCAGTGTCAACATCTACAGTGAAGAGGCGACTCCGGGATGCTGGTCTTCAGGGTAGAGTGGCAAAGAAAAAGCCATATCTGAGACTGGCCAATAAAAGAAAAAAATTATATGGGGAAAAGAACAGGCATTGGACAGAGGAAGATTGGAAAAAATGTGTTATGGACAGACGAATCGAAGTTTGAGGGGTTTGGATCACACAGAAGAACATTTGTGAGATGCAGAACAGATGCTGGAAGAGTGCCTGACTCCATCTGTCAAACATGGTGGGAGTAAAGTGATGGTCTGGGGTTGCTTTGGTGCTGGTAAGGTGGGAGTTTTGCTTCAGGGTAAAAGGGATTTTGAATAAGGAAGGGTATCACTCCATTCTGCAACGCCATGCCATACCCTGTGGACAGAGCTTGATTGGAGCTAATTTCATCCTACAACAGGACAATGACCCAAACACACCTCCAAATTGTGCACGAACTATTTAGAGAAGAAGCAGGCAGCTGGTGTTCTATCTGTAGTGGAGTGGCCAGCGCAGTCTCCAGATCTAAACCCTCATTGAGCTATTGTGAGAGTAGCTTGGCCGTACGGTACAAAAGAAGTGTCCATCCAGCCAATCCAACTTGTGGGAGGTGCTTCTAGAAACGTGGGGTAAAATTTCTCCAGATTATCTCAACAAATTAACAGCTAGAATGCCAAAAGTCTGCTATGCTGAAAATGCTGCAAATGGAGGATTCTTTGTCAAAAAAAAAATTATTTCAAATACAAATCATTATTTCTAACCTTTTCAATGTCTTGACTATATTTTCTATTCATTTTACATCTCATGGTGGTAAATAAAAGTGTGACTTTTCATGGAAAACACAAAATTGTCTGGGTGACCCCAAACTTTTGAATGGTAGTGTATGATAATCATTTATGTTTTCATTTGTTTGTATTGTGATCTGAATGTCTCTTTTTCTGTAAAGCACTTTGAATGACTTTCTGTATGAATTGTGCGATACAAATAAACTTGCCTTGCTCCTGTGGCCTCTGCTCCCTTCTCCTGCTGCTGTGGCTTAAGTGAGTAGATCATCATTATCTTCCTCTATTACAGCATGAATCTGCATTTTAAATATATTAGATCGATTTAGCTGTTGCCATCTTGAATAATATTGGCTTACAGAGTGTTGTGATGTTTTCCAAGTACTCTCCGGGGCAGTAGAGGGCGCTACTGCACTCATCCCGATCACGAGAAGCGGCGTCCTTCCTGTGCCGATGACATGTGAATGTGAAACATGTAAACACAGAACACGTACAAAACACATGTGGACGGAGGCTCGTATTTGCTTTAACGTCGTGACCAGTATCATGTTTTAGCTGTTTGAACCCCAGGTAAGTTCTAGCATGTTGTTTTTGATCATTTTGCTTCCATGGTGCGAATGAATGAACGTGAGTCTGGGCTGTGGACGTGGACCATAGACTGTATAAAAGAAAATAACACGCAATCATCTACATTTGGCACGGTTATCGTCGCTGCTCTGTGCGCTTTGAGGTGCGCTAAGGATCACGCAGTGGACACGACACGGATCACTGCAATTACTGAGACAAACAGACCTTCCTTTATATGCTCAGAAGTATCCTCAAATGAAATAGTCACTTAATTTGTATATTATCTTGTCTTAATTTTGCGCCCTAGAGAAAAAAACAAAACAAAAAAATAAAAAAACTGGTGAACAGGCCTCTATAAAATGTTTCTTTATACAGTCCATATGCTGTGCACCTGTTAGGGCAAATAACCATGCTTAGGTGGTGTATAACTACTGCGATGATGTAACTGATGTGCTGCTTTACAGTTATTGATGTACTGCTATATTTTATCGGAGTGTCTATTTGTGCACCCTCAGTGTTAATAGTTCAATAGACACGATTCTTCTGTTTGAACCCATCTCAAGAAAAAAGGGAATGGTGACGTGTCTGCTTACGCATTTTCTCCCGTACACCGCGTGTTCTCCCGTACAGCGTATGGACCGTGGCTCTTCCCGTGCGCCTCTAAACCAGGACTAAAACCAGGACTAAAACCAGAACTAAAACCAGGAATAAAACAGGAATAAAACTAGGACTAAACCAGAACTAAGACCAGAACTAAACCGGGACTAAACCGGGACTAAAAACCAGGACTAAAACCAGGACTAAAACAGAACTAAGACCAGGACTAAACCAGGACTAAAACCAGGACTAAATCAGAACTAAAGCAGAACTAAAACCAAGACTAAAACCAAGTCTAAACCAGGATTAATACACAAGATTTAACCAGGACTAAACCATTAGGCACAGACTGCGAATGATTGATCGATGATTCCACATCATTTTGAGTAAAAAATAACATCAAATATTACAGATTTTTACTGGGCTGATGCCTTTATGTTTGTACTGTCATTGAGTTTTGTTTTTTTTAAATAAATAACCTGGGTGTAAATTGCATTTTTGTCTAGGAACACCCGGGTGCTCTTCTATGTGCTAATACACCCGGGTGTAAATAGCAACAATGGCTATTTGCCCTATGTGTGACTAACAATGTTAGCTATTTACACCCAGGGTACAAATAGCATCTGCCTTATTTTATTATTGTACTATTATAATTCACTACACAATGACCCAGAAAACAGGGACTAGATTACAGCTGAGGGATGCAGAGTTTCAGTTCATGTACAAGATATTCTATTTCTATCTATATGTCTAATCAATTAACTAAACAGGGCAAGGACTTATTGATAGGGATATGCAGACTCATGACTCATCACCCTGATCACACCAGCAAGACTCTCATGTAAGAGGAGTGACATGAATCCGGGGGATTCTTGTCACAATTGGTTAAGGTTGTGCAAAAAAAAAAAAAAAAATAATAATCTTCTGAAATGTAATATGTAGAATTTTGAGGAAGGAAAATGTTATTTAGAAGTCATTTAAATTATAATATTGCAGAAAGTGAGCATCACATCAAGTAGCCATAAATGCACGAAATGTTTCCTACTTTTTTCCACATAAAAGTTGTTTTTGTATGAACCCCCTACAGGTGCAGTTGTGTGAGTGCAGTTTGGGTGTGATATACAGAGATATGTAACAGTAACTCAGCTGATTGTCTGTTTATCCACTGATCTGAAGGTCGGTGGTTTGAATCAGCAGAAGCATCAGTGGTTGAGCGATCCTGTCCACTGACTCATAGGTTGGCGGTGATTCCAGCTCCCACAGATGAATGCTGAATGCTCTTGTTGTGTCTTCGGGCAAGACACTTAACCCCCCTCTACCCAGTGTCTGAGTACACAGAATTTCTTCAGTCGCCTACAGCACTAATTCCATTGTCACTGTACCTGTCTACATAGAGATGAATGCCGAGTACCAGGAGCTCATTCTGAAGTCTTGTGGAGCCAGGTCTCTGCGTGTGGGGGCAAAGATCCAGACTTTGTGGAGTGGGTACGGAGAGATCGTGAGGGTGCACCTGGAGGGCTGTGAGCGCCCCTCGGTGGTGGTCAAACACGTGCAGTTTCCAGCAGAGGCTGACCAGAGCACAGACCTGTCCCACACTCGGAAGGTCCGCTCCTACCAGGTGGAGACGCACTGGTACCAGAACTACTGCACCAGTCCCAGCTGCCGGATCCCTGCGTGCCTGGCCTCCTGTTCCCGCGGTGATGAGATGCTGATAGTGTTAGAAGATCTGGATGTGGCAGGATATGACCAGCGGAGGTAAAGGACGTGGAATGTTTTATGTGTTATAGATGTGGTGTAGTCGCGATACAAAATTTTTTCATTAGACAATATAATGTGATTTTCAACATTATCTTATAGTACTTTCTTTTATGTTAAAATGTAATAGTATTTGAATGTAAAATGTTCTTAGTAATATATTTTACATGCTTTATGTTCCTATAGGATAATTTTGACATAAATATTAAAACAAGAATATAGAGTAAAGACACAACGGATTCCAGGCACTCCAAAACAGTAGAAAAAGTAAACACATCGCACGAGGAAAAATATAATTAAAAGGCCTTTATTTGAATGCCAACATGTTTCGACCTCAACTGGTCTTCATCAGGGCTTAATTAAGAACAAAGCATAGGTGTGGCCTTCAAATAGAACACATCAACCAATAGCAAGACTGGAGTAAATTGGAGGCAGACAAAACAGGTGCACAAAAACAGGACATGGTACAGGCAAAAAAACAAAAAACAAAAACATAAGGTTCCCATTATTACTGTTACCAATAATTTATTAAAAATAAAATTTATATTTTTTAAATATTTATAGTCTAGATCATAATTTTTATAATATATATATATATATATATATATATATATATATATATATATATATACACATATATACACACATACACATATATACACACATACACATATTTTATAATATTTATATTATATTAGTGTAATTTTATCATATTCATAAATTATATTTAATTGCCATCCTTATCAATAATAACAAATAATATACATAAAGGACCTATCAGCCTACAGTGGTTGTAAATGCAACATTGATAAAAAACATTATTAAACCTTATATTATAAGAAAAAATATATTATAAAAAAAAACAATTATAAAAAACAGGACAGATCAAAGTCCTCATTTAAACCTGGATGTTCACATGCTCTCAGTTTATGAATCCAGAAAGCTTCTCTTTGATTTAATTTTTGAAGTCTGTCTCCACCTCTTGCCAGTGGTTTCACATGTTCAATACCCTCAATACGAAGCAGAGTGTCATTGCTATTATGATTCTCACAAAAATGGCGAGCCATTGGGTAATCTTGATTCTTAACCCTGATCGCGTACTTGTGCTCAGCCAAACGATCTCGCATACGCCTTTTAGTGCGGCCAACATAGAAAAAGCCTTCTGGACAAGGGCAAGACAGACGTTATACCACATGAGTAGTATTGCAATTAATGAAATAATTTTGTGTGAATGATCTACTATTGTGTACATCCATGAACGTTTTTGTTTGAAGGACATTTGGACAATGAGGACAATTCAAACACTTAAATGTGCCCATGGGTTTTTGTAGCCATGTACTTTTGTTTTCTGGAGGAAGATAAGAATTCATTAATCTGTCTCGAAAATTTGGAGCGTGTTTAAAAGAAAATAAAGGAGATTCAGGAAACACTTTGCTTAATACAGGGTCACTTAAAAGTATAGACCAATTGTCCCTAACAATCTTTTTGATTTGTTCAGCACTAGTACTGTAAGTGGTGACAAACATAGGCCGAGATAGCTCTTTAGATCTAGCCGTATTATTTTTAGTGAGTAAAGTGCCCCGATCAAAAGATCGAGCCCTGTCACAAGCCTTTCTGAATATAGAGTAGTTGTAATTGACTGTAACAGTGAAAAAAATTAATTAAAAAAACATTGTTACATGATTATATGGGGTACTAAGAATGCCAAGCAATGCTTTGGAGGTACGCAAGACAAAAAAGGGAACTACTGTTTTAGGGTATTACATATTTTCTGCATTAAAGCTGTACTGTGTAACTTGTCCGGTGAAATGTCCGTCACCTTCTTGTTTCCACCTGTAGTTGAATACCCTCTCAAGAAAAGTTACACAGTGCACCTTTATTCTTAGTTCACAAACAAAGTCTGCTCAACTGTAATAACTGTAATAACTAAATTAAATAACTGAAAACATAGTTAAAACATAACTAAAGGCCTCATATTAATTTTCACAGGACAGCACATGAGCACAACCTGCTGCTTAATCACTAAACATGTTTTTATTAACTAGGACCAGTGTGGGAGACAAAGAGATGAGGGCGTGCCTGCGCTGGCTGGCCCACTTCCATGCTCTCTTTCTGGGCAGGCAGCCGGACGGGCTGTGGCCTGTAGGGACGTATTGGCACCTGGAGACCAGACCAGATGAACTGGAGGTTATGGGCGATGCTGAACTCAAAGCAGCAGCTGCGCACATTGACAAAATCCTCACTAACTGTCACTTCAAAACAATTGTCCATGGTGACGCCAAACTGGCCAACTTCTGCTTCTCCAAGAGTGGCACAGATGTGGCTGCAGTGGACTTCCAGTATGTGGGAGGGGGCTGTGGCATGAAGGATGTCGTGTACTTCATAGGTAGCTGTCTGGAGGAGAGGGAGTGTGAGAAGAGAGTCCCTGCGCTCTTGGATCATTATTTCTCTGAGCTGGAGGAGACTGTGGATAAGGATGTGGACTTTGGAGCTTTGGAGAAAGAGTGGAGGGAGATGTTTGCATTTGCTTGGACAGACTTCCATCGCTTTCTGCTCGGGTGGATGCCCGGACACTGGAAGATTAACCGCTACAGCAAGAAGCTCACCAAAGAGGTCCTGCACAAGCTCCAAGGCACGCACTGAAAAGTAGAAGTTAACAAGGAAAAATGAAATCTCACAATGTGGTGGAATAACCTAACCCTGTAGGTTGTCTTTCAAGAATGTCACACCTGAAAGTGAATTTAAGTCATTTTAAAATAAAAAATTAGGATCAGGATTTTTAAAAATGGTAAGAAAAAAGAACAATAGTGTGTATTATTTATTAGGGACAAATACAACAAACATAGATGAACATGTAGTAAGAATGCAATCTGATGCAGATATCACTGTGTTTATAGCCATCACAATTTCACAACACCAGTCCCAAAAAAGGACATAATGTACTGTGTTCATAGTAGTGGTCCAATCTATAGGCTCAAGATTTAGTCAAACTCTCATTGTGTGAATGTACTGGCTATTTAAAGAAGATTCTAAAAAGTACAAAGCGTTTAACCTTACAAAGTCTACAGTATATATTCTCAACATCATTGAAAATATGTGTAAATTTACCTCTGGTAACTTCAAAAACAAAGGTGCTTTCAGATAGACAGTGATAGATATTATCTAGAGGACAATGCTGTTCTAGGAACTGGGAGTCAACAAACATGTTTAGTAAATCATGAATGTAACTTTGATTTGAGGTATGATTTCATTTCTTCTTCTATTGCTTCAAAATGTGGGAACATAATTTATTCTATATACTTTATTTTGTGCCTTTGTGAATTAATTTTAGGCCTTTTGGTGCAAAATAGGTAAAACTGGTTCTTCTCTAAACATTAAAACTATTGTCACCGTGATTACTGTTGACATTTTTGTATATAACAGATTTAAATGACAATGCAATAACAGAGGGCTGTACAATATGGCAATAAAAATCAAGATTTAATCCCTGCGACTGTCTGCTATTTTGGTAAAATAGGCACATTATGTTATTTATTTATTTTTTTTATATGCTCAAAACACTTTCCAGCTCCCACTCCTTCAATACCATACTGTGAAACATTCCAAAGTAATAACATCTCCAAAGAAAAAAAAGCATTTGATGGATCCTCCACCAGAAAAGTTACACCTTTAATGATCAACCCATTTCACATGTTAGATGCAACATAAGTCCTCTAAAGCCTAAATCATGTGGTACTAAAAGTCTTTGTTAAACCACTTCCTGTGCTGTGCAAAGTTAATATGAAACACACCCTAATCATCACAAAAGTGGATATGTCAAATAGACTGCAGGTTCCTCCCTCTAAACAAGCCTTGCAATTGTAGTGCAGTCACAAAATAATTAAGTAAAATATACAAATAACACTCAGCCTCATTGATATTGGTACTATATCATCGAATTACATGATACAATATATCGATATTTTTGCCCTCCCGTTCTGGTGACTATGCTACCTTTATTTTCATCGGGAATAGCGAAGTGCATATGACAAGTTTGCATGTTTTTCTAATTATTACTCTGTATGGTGGGATAGAACTGTACATAAAGAAAAGTTGAAAAATAAGCAGGAATTTCTCTATTTACTTGGTGTGAGGTGATGAAGCCAATAACATTTAAACTTATTCTCAAAATTCTCAATCATGGACTAAATATATATTAGATTTTTTTTTTTTTTTTTTCAAGAAGGACAAAAACAAAACAAAACTAACTAACTAACTAATTAACAAAAAAACAAAAAAAAAAAAAAAAAAACATTATCACGTGGCAGGCTTTCGATCAGCTGTTGGCACCCACGTGATGACGTACTGCGCTCACGTTGCTTCCGCTTACACGCCCGACATCAACACAACAAGAGACGGGAAAAGACGACGGCGCCCCAGCGATCCAGGTAATAATATCATGATTAGGCTATTTCGGGATAAAACCAGACAAAATGAGACTTTAGGGCGGAATAACATGCTGTCATCTTGCGAAAAATGTACGTTTCTTATCGTGCAAATCCACCAAAGCTAGTGTTACCGTTAGCCACATGCTACGCTCGGTTTCCCTGTTAAACCAATGGCCAGTACTAGATGAACACAAGCGAGCTAATCTACTCAGTGTGCTTATTAAAACTTTGCTTTGTCACCAGTAAATATCTGTCTTAATCAAGGAATATATTTATAAAATGTGCTTCTACAACCTAGCTTTGGTTCTGTGATAATATGTTTTTTTTTTTTAATGATATGGTTAGTTTATTTATGTATGTATGTATGTATGTTATTATTATTATTATTATTATTATTATTATTATTAGTAGTAGTAGTAGTAGTAGTAGTAGTAGTAGTAGTAGTAGTAGTAGTAGTAGTAGTAGTAGTAGTAGTAGTAGTAGTAGTAGTGTGGTGGTGGTGGTAGTAGTGGTAGTAGTAGTAGCATTTATTTATTTTTATTTTATTTTTATGTTTTTTTTTATTATTTTATATATACGAAGTAATATACAATGGTATAAACAACATTGATTGAGGCTTAAGAATTCATATTCACAGGGCTCAGCATGTTCAATATCTGAATTATGTATTATACAAATGTAGAAAACTAATAAATCCATTCACATTTTATATTTCAAATTCTGTACAAAGTGTTTTTGGTTTCATGGCTTTGGGATTTGTGCAATAATTTTGAGAATTTACATAAGAGGACAAGAGGAACTGAAATACAACAAATATGGGTATGATATTTTGATAGCATTAGATTTTCACTTTTAGTTCAGCACTTTTTTTTTTTTTTTTTTTTTTCCAGAAATATCTTTCTCAAACACACCAAAAAGTACTTGTTTTACATTAAGTTTTAGGTTTGTATCAAGCTTTCTATTCACAAACAAAAAATATGTCATTCCAAAAGATTTGAGTGTATGAGCATTTCAGAAACACATGGGGCATGTCCAAATGGTTGTTGACAGTACATGTGATGCAACTCTGCTCCCATCCACAGTGTAAACATTCCCTTATTTTAAGCAGCTTCTTCAACTGTCACTAAAGATCATGTGGTTTAGGCCTCTATGTTTTATGGGAAAGATGTGGTGAAATGATAAATATGGACTGACATTCTTTCACTTTCGAGTTTGGTGTTGTTTTCTAGTTAAAGGCACTATATTATACTGTTTTCTGATCTATGTTTTAATGTTGTTTCTTCATCACAAAAATAGTTGTGTTTTGTTTCATTAACACGCTTAACAAACAAATCCTGCATATTTAGGATAAGTTCTTCACTCAAAAAAAAAAAAAAACACACACATTGTGATGCTCCAATGGAATTGCAAATACTCTACTGAACTAGAGGTAAATGAGGTAAATGTAGTAGTTCTGTTAACTTGAGAACTACTATGTGACATCACAAGGTGGAATGGCACATGTTGAGCTTTGGAGATGTAGATAGACTAATAATGCAGCCAGGTGTTCCTCAGACATGTGTGAATGAAACAAAACACAGCTTCAGGTCTGTTTTTTTCAGGAGGTAACAACATTATAACATGGATTAAAGCTCAGAGGAGTCCATTTTGAATGATATATGACCTTTTAAAAATTGGTTTTGTTCTGAAAGCAAATCCATGGCATTAGAGTTTTAGTACAGTGTAATCCAAGACTGCATGCATTCTTCTTCTTCCTTTATACAGTCTATGAGTATACAGTAGTTTATGGTTAACCTGTTGATTAAGGAATTGTCATTATATAAATTGATTTCTTCAACATACAAGTAATGATTCTTTCCTAAATTGGATTGTGATTTATTTAGTTTAGTCTTTGTCCAGTCCAGGTTTAATTAGTTTAGTTGGATTATAGTGTTACGTATCTCTTATTTATCCCTCAAGTTATTACAGAAAAACTTTGTGTAAAGAAAAGAAACGATAAAGATTCACTACGTAACCTTTCTGTCTCCATGGAGATGCTATTCATGGGCCATGTTATCTGCAACATTTTGAGAACTTTTTAACATTCAAAGATGCAATATTTTGTTTTAAATTGTTCACTATGGCATGACGTTGCTTTGCCTTTAATGTTCCACAATATGGTATTAAACATATACAACACAACCACCAGACCTATGGAGAGGTGAGCCCATACCCATATTTGAATAATGAATTGTAACTGAATTGACATGACATAGTGAGGAACATTGATTTGCTGGGAAGTAATGGAACCTGCACTAGAAAAATTCCACAGAGCAACTTTAACAGTGTTTTGTTTTTTGTTTTTTTTTCCTATAAACTTTGCAGCTCATAAAACCCAGTAAAAGGAGTGAGACGGGGATGTTGACTTGAGGAGGGACCGTTGAAGGGGACCTGAGGACATGAGGACCTGAGGAAGTTTTACAGGTAGAGTCCTGGTCGGAGTCCTGGTCGGAGTCCTGGTCGGAGTCCTGGTCGGAGTCCTGGTCGGAGTCCTGGTCGGAGTCCTGGTCGGAGTCCTGGTCAGGCCACAGCTGCACTTATAATAGTAGTAGTAGTAGTAGTAGTGGTGGTGGAGGTGGTGGTGTTATGAACCATGGATCCTGGAGCTATGGATGCACCTGTCACCCTGGTTATCAAAGCTCCAAACCAGAAATATGAAGACCAGACCATCAACTGCTTTTTAAACTGGACTGTGGAGAGACTGAAGAGCCACATCTCCAACGTCTATCCCAGCAAACCGGTAATGTGCTCATGTCTGCTTGTCCTATTTTAAGCCTCAAAACTATTATTGACTTTTTAGAGCTTCCAGCCATGTTGTGGTTGTATTTGCAGTGATTCGTGCGTGTTTGAGTGATGTTAAATCACTTATTCTCAATGCATCGTATTGACCATCAAAACCCTTACTTTTTTCTCCAGTTTTATTTTCTTAATCGTTGATGCACACAGGATTTGACAGCACCTCTCAGTCATTTTGGAACAAATGAAAAAAATAAAACACAGCTATCTATAGGAGGGAGCGTTAGCTACACGACTTTGTTATGATGATGTTTATGGCGATGTCAACTCCCATTTGTCACTGGAGTTTTTTAATGCAGAAGTCAGCGGACTTGCTTCCTTTATTAAGTTGTTTTAGAAGAATATTGTGATTTAAAATATGCAAATTACAACATAATGATCCATAGATATCATAGTTTATAACTATATATCAGACACAAACACAATATGTCTTCTTTAAGAAAGAAAAGTGTAAATCATGATTCACAGCCATCTTCTCCTTTTTGCTGCTACACCACGAGTACATACGCATGACATGCATTCTATTTGTAATATTTACTCAATTTTGTAACTTTATTTTATGGTATGATTTCTCTTCCACCTGTCTTGCTTAAATGTATTTTATTTTTCAGTTGTCTAAAGACCAGCGGCTGGTGTATTCAGGGCAGCTTCTTCAGGACCATGTGCAACTCGGAGATGTTCTCAGAAAGGTACTACACACATATATATACATATGTATAAAACAGTACATTTTTAGTCAGACAGTACTTGACTGTAATGCTAGCGTCATAGGTATCTATGGCCATCTTTTCAAACTGATTTATTTGTAGCCTTCTGACATAGTTTTATATTATAGAGTAGACAATAGATTCAAATTCCTATTCAAAAGTATCATATTTTCAAATCATCTTTTACAATTTTGCTGATGCTTTAATACATTGCCAACCTCTGATCGTAGTGTGGCACTCTCGCTGCACAGAGGCTGAAGCAGCTACAGAGGGTCACCAACACTGCACAGGACATTATTGACTGCCCTCTGCCTTCCATAACCATGTTATACAACTCCTGCTGTCTCAGCAGAGTGAGGAAAATCATTAAAGACAATACACACCCTGGATTCCACCTGTTCAACCTGTTGCCTTCTGGCAGGTGCATCAGGTCAATTCCAGCTAAGACCAACAGACTCAGGGACAGCTTGTTCCCCAAAGCTGTCACCATACTGAATGAGAACTGTTAATTTGTTTTATTTATTTGCTTCATTCTTGCACTTTGACAGAGCAGCTCTGAATTTCATTATTTGTATAATGACAATACAGGCTTTCTGTTCTGTTCTACTGTAGTCAGTGTGAGGCCACAGTATAAAGCACACAGACCAGTCAGTGGAACAAAAGCCAAACAAAGGCATTCTGGATGCTTTTGCCTCAGCTGCTCCTGACTGGTTTTGTTTTCTTTTGTTTTTGTTCTCTCTCCTGATTCCTGTCTCCGCTCCTGTCTGCTCCTGCCTCTGTCTGCTCTTGTCGTGTTGGCGCCACAGCAGGATGAATACCACATGATGCACCTGGTGTGTGCATCTCACAGCCCCCCGAGCTCCCCCCAGGCCCACTCCGATCCCTCTGCCAGTGTGAGTATCATTTCCCATAATCCTTCATGACTGTAAACTTATTTAAAGGTGCACTATGGAACTTTTCTGGTGGGTGGTCCCCAACTTAAATGAGAAAACCATCACAACTAACAGCCTGAGGGTGGCGCTGAAAGCTCTGAATGATGCTGGCTGTGATTCATAGAACCTTGGTTACATTTGTAACTCTCATAGAAAAGAGACTTAAAGGTGCATTGTGCAAATTTTCTGGTGAAGAGTCCGTCACCTGCTTATTTCTATGAATATGTATGAACACTGCCTGGAATATTTCACAGTATGGCATTAAATAGCTCTACCTTACATTTATTCAGTTACAGCTCAAAAATACCAAGAGCAAGATCGCCTTTTCACAAATCTGACCTGTAACTTGGTCTGATTTTGTCTCTATGAACATAAAAAGGTTTAATACCATACTGTGAAATACTCCAGACAAAGCAATAACATCTCCACGGAGAAAAGCATGACGGACACTCTACCAGAAAAGTTACAAAGTGCACCTTTAATTGGGACTAAACCGAGACCCAAATGTGGACTAGATCATCACTAAACCAGGACTAGAACAGGACTCAACAAAGAGAAGATCAGGACTAAACTAAGCACAACCCAGAACTAGTGTAAATAAACCCTCAGTTTTTATACTTTTTTTTTTTTTTTCTCTCAGAGCTCAGACAGTTCAAGCTCCTCCTCCTCTGCGTCCTCGCCCAATCAGGACACACCTTCTTCCTCTGAGGTTACTGATGGTCTGAGATATCGAGGAGGCCTGCCCCAGTACAATGCTCCTGGTGTCCCACAATGGTATGACCTTTTTAAACAAAACCGAAATAACTGTTTTTTCTTCTGAATTCTAAGTAAAAGCGGTGCCTCTTCTTCCACAGGCCTGGAGGTCCACAGGTCCCTCTGCAGGGTGCCCTGCCCGGGAACATGCCCCCTCACCCGGCCTACGTACCCATGCAGGTGCTGTGGTGGCAACAGATGTATGCACGGCACTATTACATGCAATAGTAAGTGCTCGTCTAGTTATTCAGATGTTTTTCTTTTTATGTACAAGCATTGTTGAAAATACATACTGTTAATTCCAGACTTTAAGCCCCTTCTTTTTTTCTCACACTTTGAACCCTGCGGCTTATAAAATGATGTGGTTAATATATGGATGGATTCTTTGTTTGGCACATTGTCCATTCATATGTACGGTCTATGGTTTAGCAACACAGCGGATATGAGCAGTGTGAGTGTAGAAAACACCGCTGTCTGTGCGGTTACACATGGATCTAGGGTTAACATGAAGTTGCTACACGAGCTAGTGATATTGTCAGTGCACTCAAATAGTTTATCATGTGATCAAATAAGTTATGATGCTAAATGAACATTAGTGAGGGGGACACGTCTTACCCATGTGTGTAAATGACGAGAAGAAACGTCTCAAAATTCAGTAGCCGGACATCCACTCATACCTGATTGATAGAACTAGCCCCACCCCTGAGAGAGTCTGAAATCTGCTGAAATCCTCCAGGACACTGACATGATACAGACAGGACATAGACTCTTGCAGGAAACATGCGCCGAGGAAGATTCTAGTTGGATTGTGTTTTGAACAATTATTTTGCGCTTCATACACACACCCTCCTCATGAAAAACACACAAAAAAATGCAGATGATGCAGCTTTTAACGGCGACTGATGTGGCTATAGAAGGAAACACAGCCGCTGCATGTGAGCTCAGCATCAATGAGTCGATGGTGAGATTTTGGCGACAGCAGCTTAACGAACTGACTCAATGCAAAATGACGACAAAAGCTTTGAGAGTTAATAAAAGCAGACCGCCCCAACTTAATAACTTTCTTGAAGATGTGGACACCTGTGGCTTATATTCAGATATGGCCTATATATGTACAATGTAAAAATTTTGTTCAAATTTAGTTGATATTCAGCTTATATTCAGGTCAGGTCAGGTCAGTCAGTCAGGATTTTACAGTATGGCAATATCCCTTGGTAGGTAGTGGGGATGGTACAAGATCTCGTGCCGCACAATCTCGCGAGACAAAATTGCCACAAGATCGTGCACACATAGGGTAGCCACGAGGTCTTAAAAGTCTTAAAAAGGTCTTAAATTTCATGTTCCTAAATTAAGGTCTTAAAAAGTCTTAAATTTTGTTGTCCAAGTCTTATTTTTTTCACAAAGGTCTTAAATTTCATTAGCCTGTAAACTCAACCAGGCTGCAGTGCAACGTTAAATGGAGGAGCAACAACAACAACAACGTGAAATCATGTAACGTGAATGAATGTCTAATTTGGAGTATGTAGAGGAAAACAGTGGATGGATCATGGGATCATGGGGAAGTGTCGGTTTAATCCACAGTGGCTCTTAGATTCTAGATGCAGTAGTTGGTTGGTCATTATTCAATAATGGGTGCGATGTTGGTCGATTTTCATTTAAGTGGTCTTAAAAAGGTCTTAAAAAGGTCTTAAATTTGAGGTAGTCAAACCTGGGGATACCCTGACACAAGAGAAAAACAATCTTGTGAGATTTTTTACCATGTGTTTACATTTAGATTGTACAAAAAAGGGCTGAGTTGGTGACTTACATCTCTTACAGGTCCAAAAAGCAGTACTAGAATGGAAACAAAACTATGAAATGAAATAAATAACAAAATTATGAGGACCTTCCATTAAAAGCTTTTTTCCATGGAAATGCTAATGCTTTGTCTCGACTGTTTCACAGTGTGGCATTAAACCTTTTTATCTTAATGGGGACCAAACTAAACCAAATTACAGGTCAGATCTGTGGAGAGGCAATGCTGCTCACAGTTAGTCACTTTTGAGCTATAAAACCACCTGTAACTGAATAAATATAAGGTAGAGCTGTTTAATATCATACTCTGTAACATTCCAGGCAGAGCAATGACATATCCACAGAAACAAGCAGGTGACGGACCCCCAACTGAAAAGTTACACAATGAACCTTTTAGTAACTTTTTGTTTTGTTCTTTCGCTTTTTCCAGTCAAGCCGCTGTAGCTGCCTCTCAGTCTCCCGGTTCCTCAGCTCCCTCCGCCCCGTCCTCCACCCCCCCTCAGCCTGACCCGCCTGTGCAGCCTCCTCTGGGACCCAACCCGCTGCCCGAACCCCCTCCGCCCGTCAACCCCAACTTCCAAGTGAACCCCAACATCCAGATGAACGCACAGGTAGGCACGGTACAATATTAGACTTAGACAAACTTTATTGATCCACAAGGGAAATTTTTTGGACACAGTAGCTCACAGCATATTATAATAACAAAGAGAAATTGTATAATAAATAATAATAAATACCAAGAGACTGCTGTCAATGAACACAATTATATTAATGTATATACAAGTCAAAATAAAACTGAAAACTAAGTAACAAAAATATCTCACCTATATACTTACAAGAGGTCATCAGGGTTATCTGTTCCATAAGGGTGAGTTGTTGTACAGTTGTAGGGAGTATTATCTGTTACATAAGGGTGCCTTGTTGTACAGTATATGCAGTAGGGAGTATTATCTGTTTGTAGGGAGTATTATCTGTCAGATAAGGGTAAGTTGTACAGATGTAGAGAGTATTATCTGTTTGTAGGGATTATTATCTGTTACATCAGGGTGAGTTGTACAGTTGTAGGGAGTATTATCTGTTCCATAAGGGGGAGTTGTTGTACAGTTGTGGGGAGTATTATTTATGCATATGATGAATTATAGTTTTAATATAATAAGTTCCATATTTAAATGGTTATAATATTGTACTTTGTTCTAAGTGAAACCAACAATGATCTAGAAGAAAACATGGATAAGTAGTTTTTTTCTACACTTTCTGATGATATGGCGATTATAATGTTAATTGTCCCATCCCTTCGCGCAGGGAGGGGCGGTGCTTAACGAAGACGAGCTGAACCGTGACTGGCTGGACTGGCTGTACACGGTGTCCAGGGCCGCAGTATTGCTCAGTATAGTGTACTTCTACTCATCCTTCAGTCGCTTCGTCATGGTGCTGGGGGCCATGCTTCTCGTCTACCTGTGAGTATATATGAGCAAGGCAAGGCACATTTATGTGTATAGCACAGTTCTTACAAAAAGTCATTCAAAGTAGTATTTACAGAATAAGAAATACTTTAAAATCACAATGCAAACAAATCAAAACTGTATTTTTCAGGCTATAAGTCGCACCAGCCAAAAAATGCATAATGAAGAAGAAAAAAACACAAGTCGTACTTTTTGGGGGAAATTTATTTTATAAAATCAGAGACCAGGAACCAACATTTCATCTTAAAAGTCACGTTCTAGTAATAACAATAGAAGAGAGAACAACAGACTGTTAACGTCACATATGAACAGTTCTTCAGATAAACTATAACATAAACAACAGAACAGAACAGTTTACCAAACTCTCCATCTCACTCCAAATCACTAAATCCATTCAATTCTTCATCGTCGGTGTCACTTCTGAGCAACTCCACGACCTCCGGAGGTAAACGGAGCGTTGCTTCCTCTTCTGCGTAGCTGTTGTCAGACTCGGCATCAGTTCCAGTTAGAATTATTCCGGCCTTTCTGAATCCTGACAGGATCCAGTGATTTCCAGGAAAGTTACATGGTGCTGTGACGCTGTGTTTTCCATCCCCGCTTTCCACCAGTCCCTCACAAGTTTCTCACTCACTCCAAACTTTCTTTCTGCTGCTCAATTACCGTTTTCGGTATTTCACTACTTGCAGCAGGACAACAGCTTTTTCTGCAGGAGACATGCGCTGTAGAGTGAAGTGACAGTGGTACAAGAGTAATAGAAGCAGCAGATACTGACACACACGACTAGAGCCTCTCGCGGCTTCAGTGTGAACATTTTATATATTTTATATTTAACTGTCATATGCAGCTAAACAGAAATGTTTTGAGCCTGGATTTAAACAGAGTCAGAGTAGAGTGTGTCTCACATGTTCAGACTGTTCCAGGTTTGAGCTGCATGAATCTGAAACTCTGACTCTCCGTGTTTAGTCCTGATTCTGGACACTCTGGTCGGTCCCTGAGTTCCTCAGAGTGCAGATGGTTCATATGACACTAACATGTCACAGATGGACTTTGGTGCTCAGCCATGGGGAGACTTGTACATGCAGAGCTGCTTTAAAGTCTCTGAGCCACAGGAAACCAGTGCAGAGACCTGAGTACAGGACGCATGTGCTCGTACTTCTTGGTTCGAGCAAGGACCCAAACTGCAGCGTTCTGGATGTTCTGCAGTGTCTCACAGCTCGTTTGGAGAGGCCAGTGAGAGACCATTACAGAATCTAACCTACTGGAGACAAACGCATGGATAAGTCTCTCTAAGTCTGATTTAGACAGTATATCTTTGATTTCTGACATGTTTTTAGATGGTAAAAGGCTGCAGATGTTATTGATTTGATGTCGCTGTTAAAGTTCAAGTCTGAGTCCATTATTAGCCCTAGATTTCTAGCCTAACTTGGTTTCAGGGTGAGAGACTGTAGGTGACTGCTGACACTGTCTCTTTGTTTCTGTGGACCAAATACTATGACTTCAGTCTTATCTGAGTTTAGCTGGAGAACGTTGTTTTGAAAGTCAGGTGATTATATTGGTATATTTTCAAATTCTAGACTCAAGACCTCACTGTATTGCAGCACAAATCTGAAATTTTACCAGTATTTATTTTGCTTAGGAGTAGTTCACGTCGTCGTTGTTCTCCTTTACGTTTTCGTCTTTCTTACCTTGATAATTGTGGATAAATTCTTCATGGACAGAATATGTCTTTTATCCACCTTATTGGATGAAGAGTTGGTGATGGGGCATATTTATGAAGCTGGTGGAAAATACACAAGACATTTCTACAGATATTTTGGCATAGAAAGGCATTAATTAAGTGACATTTACCCTATATCGCGACACTTTCAGCCGTTGCGAAAAAGGTCTATTACCAACAGAGCTCAAAAGAAGTCGTCATCCACCTGTTTCCAAACGTTTGCTGGTTTTGTGACGTAAGCGTGAATAGAGCCCTTTGCATAATATATAAGATCTTTGAGGTATTAAATATAACTTTTAACTTTTTTGTTTTTAAGTGTACAAGTAAAGTGTGTGTTTTCCATCGCAGGCATCAGGAGGGTTGGTTTCCCTTCAGACCTGAACAGCAGCAGGTGAGAGGAGAGCGAGGGGCAGCCCAAGAGGAGGCCCACAGACAACAGGATATGCAGGAAATGGTACTTATTATACCACAGAATTTTATTTTTGGATATTTTCATTTGAGCAAACATATAAAAAAGACTGGTAGTTTTTTCAATTTTTTTCCTAATGTTTAAAAGTGCATTGTGTAACTTTTCTAGTGGAGGGTCCGTCAGATGCATTCCTCCATGAAATCTTATTAGTTTGTCTGGAATGTTTCACAGTATGGTATTAAACCTTTTTATCTTCACGGGGACCAAACCAGACCAAGTTACAGGTCAGATCTGTGGAAAGGCAACACCGCTCACAGTCAGAATGCCTGTTTTTCTAGTTATTTTTGAGCTCTAAAACCACCTGTAATTTCATAAATGCAAGGTAGAGCTGTTTAATGTCCTACTGTGGAACATTCCAGGCAGAGCAATGATGTATCCATAGAAACAAGCAGTAGGGATGTAACAATAACTGAAATAGCGTGATGTCGTTTCGTCAAAAGTGTCACAATAATATCGAATCACAAGTTCCTTTGCTGAAGTGCATTGTTTTATAGTAGTAACAGCTTATAAACATCGGGAACTACATATCCCATGATTCATTTCAGTGCAGACATGAGGAAATATGTTTTTTACTTGAATTCTTGGGATTATGACGGAAATAATTCACACCAAAATCTTGTCAAGGTATTTTAAAAGCAAAAAAGTGTCCTATCTACTATTATATTAGTCTCTTCAAAATATCACAGTAAATAACGTACGGTGAGATGTATATTGTGATAATATCGTACCGAGAGATTTGAATATCGTTACATCCCTAACAAGAAGGTGACGGACCCTCCACCAGAAAGGTTACACAGTGCACCTTTAAAGTAGAAATAAGAGTCAAAGAACAAAAAACACTTTTATTTTAGCCTTTTTTTTTTTTTTTTTTTCTAAAATGGCTTTAATCTATGGTTAAATAAATCACACTGCAATGTACTCTAAACTTACAATCCATGTTTAGTGCTCTCACTGAACTTTAAAGGGCCCATGTTACTCTATTTTCTGATCTATGTTCTAATGTTGTTTCCTCATCACAAACAGACCGGTACTTGGAGTTGTGTTTTGTTTCATTCACACAAGTTTAACACACAAGCCCTGCAGATTTAGGCCGAGTTCTTCTCTCAAACTGAAAATGCTCTTCTCCACCTTGCGATACCATGTGGTAATACGAGAAGTGCTCCACTGTGTTTTTAAACCACATACATCACCACTAGAATCATTTAGATTTTTCCTTATAACAAGCAAATAGTGTTTAAGTCTATTAAAGGTAATTGAACCTTGCCAGCAGGTGGAAAAGTACCTAAGCTCCACCAAAAATGACCCGTGGGAGCTGATTTTCAAAAATTCTGTTTGAAATGCAGGAAGTTAATAATAGATGTTTTTATTACTTTAAACTAATCAGAATATGTTTCTCTGGTAAAAACTTTATCATCATCTAACTATGCCCACATGGGAAACCGAGGCTCCAAAGAAGGGGCCAAAAAGGTCAAATCTGTCCACATGAAAGCTCAGAAAAGTGAGGTTGTTGTCAGAAATGGTCATTCTCTCAAATATTCAGGTTCAGCAGTTAGTTTGTAAATATCTGCTCGGAGTAAATAGATCTTGGACCTCAAAAATTGAAAAAATAAAAAAGAGTGGCAACCAAATTTGATATTTTGCGGGCCCACAGCACCCCCCTTTGACAAAAGATTTAGAATCTATGACCAAGAACCTACAATAATACAAATCTTCAGCTTCCTAGCTCTATTTTTTATGAAGTTATGGTCTCTCAACCATGCTTATAAATTAAAGATTCCAAAAAACTGAGCATGGCCCCAAATTTTCAATGGGCCATAACTCAGGAACGAATCAAGGGATTGAGCTAAAATTTGGGATTCTTTTATTTGGTAATTTTAGATAAAAAATAAAAAAATTTAAAATCAGCCAAATCTGTGATGGCTCATAGGGGAGATTCCTTGAAAACGGCTGATTTCATATGGACTGACGCCAGAGCATTTTGAGCTTTGGAGATCTGTGGTAGACAGACTAATAATGAACCATTACACAAACACATGTGAATGAAACAAAACCCAACTCCAGTTTTTTGAGGAGGTAACAATATTATAACATGTCCATAATCTCACAAGAGTCTATTTTGCGTAATATAGGACCTTTAATGAACCCTGAACCTAACTCATTTGTGTGCCTCTCCAGGAGCGCTTGATGGACGAAGGTCTGGAGGAGGACGACGCAGAGGAGCCCTCGGAGCGAGATCGGGCCCGCGCCGCCGCACCTGAACCTGGTTTCCTCACCACCGCCTGGGCCTTCATCAGCACTTTCTTCACCTCCCTCATTCCCGAAGGCCGCGCCCAACCTGGAAACTAGGCACCCCCCTCCGAAGCAGCTCCAGATCGGCACCAAACTGAACTTTTACCGGTGGACTGCCGTTGACGAGCAGCACTGGATTACAGCGTAATTAACTAAGATTAAAGAGGGGGTATCCAACATTCAAGTGTGTGATCGGTTTAAGGGAAAATGACTATAATGAAATATATACACTGCAGGAAAGGAATATCTGGCCTGGGTTAAAAAGACTTGAATTGAATTTGAGTAGTTTTGACTGGTTTAAAGGAGACAGATTCTGTAAAATAGACAGTTTTTTATCACATTATAGTTGTTTTCCTTTCTCATTTACCCTCTCCAAGTTGTATTTAGAGCTGGGTTGTCAAAGGTATCGAAAATCAAATTTGTACTAAAAGCAGTGTCGAAAATAGATACCATATTTTTTGGACTATAAGTTGCTCTGGAGTATAAGTCGCACCAACCAAAAAATGCGTAATGAAAAAGAAAAAAACATAAGTCACATGGGACTATAAATCGCACTTTTTGGGGTAAATTTATTTTATAAAATCAGAGACCAGGAACTGACATTTCATCTTGAAAGTCAAGTTCTAGTAATAACAACAGAAGAGAGAACAACAGACTGTTAACATCACATATGAACAGTTCTTCAGATAAACTATAACATAAACAACAGAACAGGACAAGTTTATCAAACTCTCCATCTCACTCCAAATCACTAAATCCATTCAATTCTTCATCCTCAGTGTCACTTCTGAGTAACTCCCTGACCTTCGGAGGTAAACAGAGCGCCGCTTCCTCTTCAGTTCCAGTTAGAATTATTCCAGCCTTTCTGAATCCCGACAGGATAGTTTCAGTTGTCTTTATGTTTGTTTAAATTTTAAATTGTCAGTGATAGAGAAGTAATGGTGCGATCGACTGACACGATACAGACAGGACAGTGGCTCTTCGTCTTTCTTCTGCTGCCGACATAGTAGAAAGCGAAGTCACAGTGGTACAGGAGTATTAGAAGGAGCAGATACTTACACACGAGCCTAGAGCGCCCTCTCATGGCAGTCAGTGTGAAAATTTTAATTAAGAGCGTATAGACTAGTATACACCCATGGACCACTATGGAACCTACCTGCACCACTGAGGGATGACACACATACTGTATAAAACCACATGAGAATAGAAAAGAAAATACTACGATTTAATGTTGAAAATCACATTATTTTGTCTAAAGAAATAATTTTTATGTTTTTTTATTACCATCATGGTCTCGGAATCGGTATTGAGTATCGAGTCTATTCCTTAGCATTGAAATTGAGCTTGAAATTTTAGTATCCTGACTAAACCAATTTATAAGAGACGCCACTCTCTTACCCCGATACACGCCCACTGCTTTTTACTTTTTTTTGTTTGTTTTTTAATTAATCCGTAATACACATATAATCCCTCAGTGTGGCATTGCATTTTAGCTCAAATAAACAAACAAATCCACGGCTTGCTCTCACAATTTGCAGCGATCCATAAGTGGGGCAACAGAATGCAGCTCTGTGTTGTGATATAACGTAAAGGGGCAGACTTTTATCTTTTTAAAGTCATTTTAGACAAAGATTGCTGTTTTCGCTTGAATTATTTCTCATTAAAATGCCCAAAATATATGTTTATGACTGAAGTGCGTCATAGACTATTAGACCAAAGCACAGTATGTATCTTTAAAGGTGCACTGTGTAACTTTTTGGTTGAGGGTCCGTCACCTGCTTGTGGATATGTTATTGCTCTGCCTGGAATCGAAATCCACATTTTACAAACAAAGCAGTTTCCAAAGTGCTGCAGAGAGATCATAAATTGGAGACAACAAAAAGGTAAATTGCCAAAATGTGGTCATACCAGTCCTAAAACAATAGAAAAGCAAAACGATAAAAATCATAAAATAGCAGTAAATAAGTCAAATAAATAAAAGACTCAGAGGACCACACAACTCACGCGGTGTTGGAATGTTCCACAGTATGACATTAAACAGCTCTACCTTACATTTATTCAATTACAGGTGGTTTTAGAGCTCAAAAATATCACCTCTCCACAGATCTGACCTGTAACTTAGTCTGGTTTGTTCTCCATGAAGATAGAAAGGTTTAATGCCATAGTGTGAAACATTCCAGACCAAGCAACAACATCTCCAGGGAGAAAAGTATTTTGACGGACCCTCCACCAGAAAAGTTACACAATGCGGCTTTAATTGCTTTTATGATATGTATGATTATGGTTTTAAGATAATTTAGATAGATATATTAGGCAATTAAGAGGCAACCCCGCTCATGCCTGTTTTTTAAGGTATTTTTAGGTATTTTTGAGCTATAAAACCGTCTGTAATTGAATAAATGTAAGGTAGAGCTGTTTAATGTCACACTGCGGAACATTCCAAGCAGAGCAAATGCAAATGCAGGTGACAAAATGCACCACTCAAAACTACTCAAATCCAAAACTGAAGTGATTTTAACTAATGTAGATATTCCTTTTATTTGTTGTGCAGAGATAGTTTTTTATTTCTATTTTTGATCCTGATTTTTTGTCATTCGGAGTGGCAAAAGAGAGAACTGTCTTCCATACAAAGCTGTGATGTTTGGTGAAGGTGGTGAAGGTTATATGTACAGAAACACGAACATATACAGGAGTACTAACCGTAAAACACTTTGTAAAATAAGGGGTCTGTAAGTATTTCCCAATGATATTTTTGAGCTCTTTAAGCACATTCTGTATTTAAACGTGACCTATTTACACATATGATTATATTGCATCTATCATTTCTAAATATGAATTATGCTTTTTGGAATAAAAAAAAGCTTGTTTTAACAACTTGTGGGTTTTTGGTGCTTTTAGAAATGTCCAGCAGAGGGCAGCAGATAAACGTGAGTCTAGTTTAGTGCAGTCTGTTTTTGTTTTGTCAAGACGTCTGCCCAGAATGTGGTGAGTGATCGGTGATAGTCACAGGGACCAGTGGCACAGACTGGCAGCCTAGTTGGCATCAGTCTACCCCACGGCAGCTGGAGTGAATGAATAATGCAATGTTAACTCAGTGGTGACTGAAGTACTCAATTTTGTAAAGTAAAAGTACAGATACTGGAGTAAAAGATTGATGGGTTAAGTAAAAGTGTCATGGTATACAAATATAATATGAAAAAATTGACTTAAAAGAATTAAAGTATTTGTTTAAAAAAAAATTAATAAATTAAGGGTAAAAGTAAAAGTATTTTGCAGATATTTTTAGAACAATTTCCATATGAAATGTAGTAATTCTGATAAAGAATTTAGCTGATTTTAAGTGAATCAATTGATTTCTGAATTTTTCTAGCTGTTTTTATGTATTTGGTTTGCTCAAAGTTTGGACATTAACTCAAATGAAATGTGCTAAAAAGAAGTCTGAGCCATTTCAGCAGGTCTCAAACCATAAAGAAAAGTACATCTTACTTTTCAGTCCAGTCCTAAAATGCAGTGGAGTGGGAAGTACAGATAACTGCTCCCAAAGGTATTGAAATAAAATAAAATAAAAATAATAAAAAATGTCTGTCCATCCATCAATTTTTTCCCCCCACTTATCCAGGGCTGGGTCACGAGGGCAACACTCTAAGCAGGGGCTCCCAGACTTCCTTCACCCCAGACACATCTTTCAGCTCCTCCGGGGGACCTTGAGGTGTTCCCAGGCCAACTGAGAGACATAGTCCCTCCAGGGTGTTCTGGGTCTTCCCCGGAGCCTCTTCCCAGTGGAACATGCCCGGAAAACCTCCTGAGGAAGGCGCCCACAGAACATACACCTGAGCCACCTCAAATACTCCTCTTGACATGGAGGAGCAGCGACTCTACTCCGAGCTCCTCCCGTGCGACCAAGCTCCTCACCGTATCTCTAAGGGAGCGCCCAGCCACCCTGCAGAAGAAACTCATTTGGACCATTTGTATCCGGGCTATGGTCAAAAATAAAAAGTGTCCACTGTAAAATGTACTTAAGTAAAATACAGAAATGTAAAAATTGTACTTAAGTATTGTACTTTTACTTTCATACTCTGTTACCTTCCACCACTGTGTAAGCTGCTTTGGATATCTTGAAAGGGGCAATACAAATCAAATGTATTTTAATTTATTATTAGTCCGTTGGTATTGTACAGTTAAAGATGCATTGTGTAACTTTTCTGGTGGAGGCCCTTCGAATGCTTTTCTCCATGGAGACGTTATCACTTTTTCTCAAATGTTTCAGTTTGGTATTAAACCTTTCTATTTTCATGGAGTCCAAACCAGACCAATTTACAGGTCAGATCTTTGGAGAGGCGATCCCGCTCACAGTCAGAATGTCTGTTTTTCTAGGTATTTTTGAGCTATAAAACTACATGTAATCGAATAAATGTAAGGTAGAGCTGTTTAATGTCATACTGTGGAACATTCCAGGCAGAGCAACGACGTATCCATAGAAACAAGCAGGTGCCGGACCCCCAACCAAAAAAGTTACACAGTACATCTAAAGTAAAAATGTGTAATTGTGTTTGTCGATTTTAAAGTGGCATATAATTATTCATACAGCCATATTGGATTATTTTCTGTTACTTTTTGCCCTGGTGCATTGTGGTCCTCAGTGTACCACATTAGGCCTGTCAGAAAATCAAAACTAAAAGTCGACTAATACACAAATGCACGGCTGATTCTCCGTGTTGGAAGTCTGCTTTTCCACAGATCTGCCCAGGATTTTGGTCTGGTGGCGTTACCTTCTGCTTTCTTATGAGACACTCAACTTTAATGCCATACTGTGGAACATTCCAGGCAACTAGTGGCATTCTAATGTTTTTATAGAAAATTTTAAAACTGAATACGATATGGGACCTTTCTGGTTGGGGTTTTGCCATGTGCTTGTCTTCACAGAGCATGAAGTTCAAGTGCCTATGACAGGAAAACACCTTTATTTAGCTAAAATCATGTTACAAGTATCAAAAAAAAAAAGTTGACACAGCTAAAGCTCTCTACTTCTTGTTATTTTCAATATTTCTGTCAACTTTTCTTCACAAATTGCCTCTTGATTGGTGCAGATTGACCAGATTTTCATCATAAAAAACTGGGACACCCCCGATTTGGAGCGGTTGATAAAAATTAATCTGTGAAACAAGTGCATAATTAAGGAGAATTGTTCTGCAGTCGGCAAATTCATAACTAACTAACTAAATGAGTCAGCATAATCACGTTTTCTTTGTATTTTGGTCCATTTTAAGCAGCTTTTCTGTGTTCAAAAATAGGGACACCTGGGACATTTCTTGTGTAAAACTAGGACAAATCATAGGTTTTAGATAAATCTGCTGGGATAGGGGACATGAGGTTCAAAACTGGGATTGTCCCGGGTAAATAGTTACGCCTGGTCACCCTAGACTGGTTTCCTGGCCGTCCACAGAAGCTCACTCACTCAGTTATTTACGTATTGTATTTTCTGTTTCTAATGGAGAGGAAGGACAGTATATTTCAGCAGTAACAGCAGTAGTAGCATTAGTAGTAGTAGTGGTAGTAGCAGAATGAATTGTGTGATAAATAAACCTATAACTTGCAGTAAAGTGCTACAGTACTTTAAAGAGGAGGTATGAACTGCAAACACAAGATCACCATGCTTCCTTTTATTCTTTTGAAAATGGTGTATTAGTCTCTCCTCCTCTCCACATCACTCCCCCTTCAGAGCACAATCACAACGCAATCAGTGCACCTCCCGTTAACTAAACTACAGCACATCTGCCAGGTTTGTGAAGTTGTAGTATAATGTTTTGTTTCATATTTTGTATGTGTATGGAGAATTGCCGTACGAGAGCATGGGTAATGTAGGCTTGTGTATAGGATCATACAGATAACTGTAAGGCAGAGTCCTACACTGGGTTGGGTATCCAGCGGGTACCTGCAAATAGTTGCTGAAACGGGCAGGCTTTAAGGTTCTGGAATTTTATGTGTGGGTTGCAGGCAGGTAGTGGTCACACACGAGTGGGTCAAGTGAATCAACTGAACGATGGAACGGGAGAAAAATACTCGACGCTCATCCAGGACGTCCTGGAAACAAGTACCATTTCCTGGTCTTTTTCTGTAACGATGGACCAGGCTGAGAGAAACTTAAGTGTATTTATTACATAAAACCATCAGCAGAGGTGATTTGCTCACCACCTGTGCTCCTGGATTAGTCCTGGTTTAGACCTGGTTTAGTCCTGGTTCTGTCATGGTGTAGTCCTGGTTCAGTCCTAGTGTCATCAGTCATGGTGTAGTCCTGGTTTAGTCCTGGATTAGACCTGCTCCAGTCCTGGTGTAGTCCTGGCGATTGACTCTGCGGTTTTTGGCGTGTATATATTTATGTTAATGACACTGGCTCAGTCCTGATTTAGTCCTGGTTTAGACCCAATTTAGTCCTGGTTCAGTCCTAGTCCAGTCCTGGTGTAGTCCTGGCAATCGACTCTGCGGTTTGTGGCGTGTATATATTTATAATCTGTTAATGTCACAGTGTAGGGTCAGTCCTGGTTTAGTACCTGATTTAGTCCTGGACTAACGGGCTGTTGGACTAATGGGCTGACCCCAATTTATCACGGGCACTGGCGGGTAATGGGTGGAATGTTAACAGGATATTAACGAATGTTAAGCAGATTTAACTTTGATATAATCACGGGTTAACAAGCGGATGTGGTGCCGTACTGTGCAGGTGTGGGTCTCCAAAAATGGACCCAAAAATGGACTCTGCTGTAAGGAGGGTTCGAATAGGGCCCTGGAGAGATGAATAAATTACATAAACACGCATGGATGACATCTAAATAAAAAAAAGAATAGAATATAGCAATAGAAATCTACAAAAAGATGATTTTGCATACTACTCCCTCTTGAAAATCCTTTGTAGACCATATTGTACAAACAGCATTAAAAGTTGGAACCACTCTGCACACAAAGCCCGTTTTAAATGCTTGCGTTGCTGTCACTTTGCCGGTGCGTCCAAAGGTGAGCGGGGAAGCAGCTCCGACAGCGCTGCACTCTGGAGTCCTCCAAAAGCCCCTAATCGAATGACCATGGATTTTTGTGTAGTCCGTCACGGAGAGCCCCAATTAATTATGCATGACAGCGGCTTGACGGCCTCGTGATTTGGTTAGGCCCACCCCCACACACTTACCCCCGTCCCTTATCGGGCCCGGGACGTCTTTAAGAGGGTGTTTGGGGGCTTGTAGGACATTTCATCATCATAATAAGTCCTTGTTATGCGCCGGTTTCCCTGCTATCGGAGCGGCTTGTCTTTGCGGGAGGAGCGCGGGGTTTGGACACCTGCCACGGCGCACTCGCAGATAGCGTTTGTTACGGCGGATGGAGAGACGGAGATAGAGAGAGACGACACCCCAGAGGACGGCGCGCAAAAGCTCTGACGCATCACTTAGGCTGTGCAAAGATGCTCCGATTCAAGAAGTTTAGACAACAGGCAGAGAACAATGCACCAAAGTTACGTCGGTTTGGTGGTGCCATTTTGAACGTGTTGTTTTTGACTTGCTCTTAAAAATAGGCCCATCAATTATCTACCATTAGGCAAAGTAGGGTCCCCAAACCTGGAGAGGCCCCCAACCAATTGCCCTCAGTGCCACTAATGGTCCAGGCCTCAGAGCAATTTGATTTTCTCTCAATATAACATTAAATGAGAGTAGTTTACTTTTAAACAGTAATTATAAGAAAAATAATAATCATATGTAATGGATGTAAACAAAAATGTAACTGTACAAGGCAAAAAATTTAAATACTTTCAATTCTGGTTATCTAGTAGGCGACCAAACTAATAAGACAAGTTTCCAATCCACCATAATTTAAATAAATAGAAATGTGCG